TAATAACCACAATATACGCAAGAGATGCAGTGCAAGAGAAAATTACAATTAGTCATATAATTGTTGACATCGTAATAAATTGTATGCTCTAGTGAGGAAACAGAAGTCACTGAATTAGCGATTGCGCGTAATGAGACGGAAATATTGCCTAGGGATGCTGTGCGAAATTGACGGTATTACGATGAACTACTGATGCTACACGGAACCGAAGATGTTACGTTGCCGAGTGTAAGTATATATCTCACGTTAAAAAAGAACAAAGACATCGGGAGCAATTAATCGCAAAGGTAAATGCGACATTCAAGTCGATTGACGTTACGCGCGAAATATTGTTATTGCTTCGTGGCGTACGACTTACGCAAAAATTGATATAGAAAGTATCTAAATGAGGATGATCTTATCATTAATAATTTGCAGAATTTTACTTCAACAAAAGTGCAGTGAAATTTGATAACGACAGCTTTTATCGGCTAAAAATAAAAATTATCCACACGAAAAAGAATAAACAGCGGCAAACAGAGGGTTGAAAGAAAACTCTTTTTCATTTCAATTGCGATCACTAAAACTCCAACTGTACATCGCAGATTCCATCTACGTAATTGCTGTTGTACTAATCGTATCATCGTGAAACGATATTATTTTAATAACGCTCCCTACAGTTATACCGGATAATTTGTTAGAAAGTACCCAAATGAAGATTATTCATAATTTGCAGAATTTTACTTCAACAAAAGTGCACTGAAACCGACTTCGATAACGACAGTTTTTATCGCCTAAAAATAAAAATTATCCGTACGAAAGTGAGTAAAAAGAGGCAAACAGAGGGTTGAAAGAAAACTGTTTCATTTCAACTGCGACCACTAAAAGTCCAACTGCACATCGCAGATTCCATCTACGTAATTGCTGTTGTACTAATCATATCATCGTGAAACGATGCTATTTTAATAACGCTCCCTACCGTTATACCAGATAATTTGTTAACTCGTACGTGTCTACCGCGGGCGCACGCCTGAGAGAATCTCGTATGCGTGCACAATCGACGAGCAGTGGTTTCGCGTTCGTTATGATGCATCTCGGAGCATTCTCGTAACAGCGTGGCCAATCGCATACCGGGGCACACGTATAAGGAACCCGGCATCGAAAAAGGGATCAAGACAGCCGCTTCGCGCGTGATACGTCAATTTATCTGCCGGCAGCTAAAATCGCGTTGCGCGATATGTAATATTTATTCTCCGTGACGAGAGCTGCACACGCAACCGCAGACAGGATATCTTTGCCCCCTCCCACCCCCTTAACCCCTTCAGCCCCCCCCCCCCCGTGCAGATTGGGCAAATTTTATGCCGACCTGGAGAACCGCGCATCTTGTAGCGGCGCTGATTTCGCAGATACGGTAGAGTTGCACCACTTCAAGTGTAACATTGACAACAACGGCGATACGTACTCTGCCTAACAAATAAAACGCTGGGAATGGGATAGGACGTTGTAGACCCTGAACGGCCTGAGCCAAGGCTCACAAAAGGACTGGCTGAATCAATACACTTTGCCAAGAAGTGTTTCTCGGCTATCTCTATAAGAGCCGTCCGAGAGTGCAGCGCTTGCCCAACGTGTAATGTTGAAACGACATTGAATAATACTAATGATACGGATTGAATGATATTGAATAATGTTGTCGATGTTATTTTGCGCACAATGGCGCATATCGAAACGCTATTCGCGTGTAAAGATATCGAGATATATTCGGTACGTATCGAAAAGTGGGATATCTGGGCCACGCACGGCTCGCTTTCCCATGTAATTCTCGTTACATTTGTAACCCGTTTGGAATTCTTCGTCAAACGTTTACATCACTATTTACATCATAGTCATATTTCTGGAGCGCTCGGACTACGGTCTAGACTACGATAGGTGTGTCACCATTTGCAGGGTTGGGAAGTAACTCGTTATTTGTAACGAGGTTACAGTTACTTTTTTGTTACAACTCTAACTTAACTTCGTTACTTTTTCTTCGTCTATAACTGTAACTTAACTCAGTTACATTTTCTCAATAACTAGTAACTAATTTAATAGTTACTTTATATATTTTTTAAACCCCCAGAAATTGCAAATTAGGTCTTGCATTTGCGCATAAACGCTTTTATCGACGCTTTACAATATAGACCGTCGTCTCTAAAACATCCTATAGCGAATTCGGTAGCCTGCACTAGTGCGCACTAATTGTAAGTCTTGTTTACAGTCAATTCTTATATTTAAGGATGGCCTTAAATACTTTTTGAAATACTTCTTAACCAGTAAAGTGATTTGTATAGCATTCGTACGGATCATTTGCTTGGTTAAATAGTTTTTAGACATGTGTACTTGAGATGACCATATAAGAGTACACAGGTGGAAAATTTGTGTTTTTTTTGTTAAAGAAAATGCCGGTTAAAATTTTTGCGTTAAATGTTCAACACATTCATATGTTAATTTAACGTATTGCTATTGTGTTAATTAGCCTCAAATGTAAATTTATTAAAATAACTGAAAGAAATGTTAAAACAACACAATGTGTACTTATTTTTTAATCTTACACAATACATATGTTTTATATTATTAGTGACAAAAGATTTATCTGTTACGATTTACAGAAAAAATTTTGATTTTATTCTATAAGTGAAAGTGATTTCGAACCGTCATTTGACTTATTATATCTGTAAAATGTAAAGATTACATTAAAAAAAATTCATTATGTAATTAAAAATATGTTAATTTTACACAAAATTTATTTCAAATTATTTTGAGATCTGCATTTATTTTGTGTTAAAATATTAACAGAGTATTAGTGTGATCATTTAACATATCCATATTATGTTAAATTAACATTTGTGTGGACCGTTTGGGACATGTGATATCTGTCAAATTTAACACAAATTCAACCGTGTTGAAAAACCTTGGTGCAACTCTTAAAAGTGTGCACTCAGTGCGCACTAGCGCAAGCTGCCGAATTCGCTACTATTTCATAATTTGCAACACGGCTACAGCGGGAACGAAAGGGTTAAGCGCTGCACGTAAAGTATTAAGCGATAAGCAGTCAGCGCGAATATTAATTTACAAAGAAACCTCAGACAATCATCAATCAATCTGTCGGTTCCATTTAACTGCCAAACGATGGAATCTTCATCGGGGGGCGTGCCACGATTTACTCAAAAAGTACATATCGGGGGATATTAAACCGTAAAATTAATCGCGAAAATTGCCGTATTGAGACGTCACTCGCGCTCGCGGCTCGGGTGACGTCGGATTACCCGTAAATTTGTTAAACGTTTGCATAAGTCGTCGCCACCGAGATTTATGCGAGCCGCCTCTATATCTACCGCGGATCGGAGCAAGCGCCTCTCGCGATCTAAACGGCTCGCGCGACGGGCATACCGAATAGATTGGATTTATATCCCACTCATCCTCGCGTCTCTCTGCCAACACTTGGTCCGATTACCGGCAGGCGTATTTCTTCACGTCCACCTTTCATTCGTAACTACAAACTCGGTAATTGGTTCGATACACTTCGGGTCCGGAGGATGAGATCAGCGTTGCCCTGCGCGCGCGCGCTCCTTTTTTTTCCATCCGATCAGACAGTTCGAAAGTGCGGCGTCGCATTTCGAAGGCCGTCTTCGGGATCGAATCGGCCGCGGCGGGGGTGAAAGGGGGGACCCGGAGGATCTCGCGCGCGCTTCCCCGCGGACGGGAAAATGTGTCGAGGATCGCGGGGAGCCCGCCGGCAGATGCAACCAGCGAATTTTCCTAGCGCCTGCCTCCATGCGACTGCATGTGTGCAATCGCATTCTTGCCTCGCGCGTGCAACGCGTCGGACGCGTTCTCGCCGCCACGTGCCTGGGATTCTTTTTATTACGCGGAGAGCACGATGTCGAAAATGCGCGTCCGCGCCGACGGAGGCTCGCGATTGCCCAACGCTGTCCGACGATGATTCGCGATAGTTTTGAAAAGCTCGGCGCTCGGGAGTCTTTTCTTCTTTTTTTTCCCTTGCCCTTTTTCTTTGGCCTATCACCTCCTGACGAATCAATTTAATTATCCCCTCCGCGTTGTGCTGTAATATGTTTGAAAGCCCGCGGGAATGCGGACGCGTCATTCTTTTTCTTTTTGCGGATGTATATGTACCTACGCGATGTATTCCGCATAGAAATTATGCCTATAGCGAGGCCGTGTCATCGGTAAATCGCTGTGGAAATTTGAAATGTTCGATTTCAGGCTCTAATTTCGCGCGCGATACGCGATATCGGCTGAAGATATCGCACCTAATTTTCTCGCCCCTCTTTCACGCACGCCAATGTCACGCTTTAATTCCCTACGCGTTAATATCCATGCGTAATTCTTATATTCCGTACATGTAAGAAAATGCTCGAGTAATCATAATTGCAGATTTAAAGTATGCCAAACCTTTCACTCTCCTGTCACTATCCTGTCACTTTTTTCACGCCCAGCTGTCGATTCTCGTCGATTTACATACGACGTACGTTCGGTATGAAAATAATACAACGCGAGATATCCCCAGATACTCGCGGTATAATAATAATTTTAATTATTTATGACATAAACCGCGCGAACAACTCTTCCTCGTCCCGAACGTCAAATACGTGACTACCTTCCAGCTAATTTTATTCGCGGGGAAATTGAATCCGATCAATCAGGCTCGTCCAAGCGGCGTCTCCCAGGTGCCCCAAGCGGCGTATTTCGTTAACTTCGATACCCGTCTCACGTCAAGCGTCGGCGATTCGGATTTCGTTTCTTTTTCAGCGGGTGCACCTTCGCGTGTCGGAAATCGATCCCGCGGTGCTCCCGGACGCGGAGCCGGTGCTCCACCGCGCGGGATGACCCGCTCGAGAAACCGAAAGTCACGTGCGTAGCCCCAATTAAAATTTTAAAGCCATTTCAGTCATCAACGGGGCTATCTCTTCCCATAATGCATCACGCAGAGTGAAGGGAAGATGCGCACCTCTCCGCCTCCCACACCCTCCCACAGTGCGGCCGGTCATTCTAATACGTCGGTTAATACATGGATATGCAGTACGAAGGATAAACTGTAACAAAGGGTCCGCGCGATATATAAACTCACCGGAGGATCATCTTCTCAGTTCGCCTCGTGTCTTCGGTCCTACAGCAATATGAATTGCCACCAGGTAGGCCAGCAGATAGTATCGCCGTGCGACGGCGGATCGCTTTAACCCTTTCCGCTGCAAAATGCGCTAGTCCGCCGACGGGTTCGGTAGCCAATTAATTTCCTAACTCTAAATATGTTGCTAGATCTTATTGCGGAAAACCAAGTAAAACGTTCTTCTCCCATCCGTTGCGTCAATTTTTTGGTCGCCAGTCGTTCCCAAATTATTCTACTTCTTTGTAGAATTCTCTCTTTTTGCAAAAGAAACGAATTTCCTTTACCGTATTATTTCGATTGCAAAGAATAAAAAAAGCGTCATCGGGAGCGGCCTATTTGCGACGCATCTTCGTCGTCAGAGTTTTAATTCTACTCCGTAATTTGTTTGTTACATTTGAAGATGTCTTAACGATAGTGACTTTACAACACTTCGTTGTCCCGATAAACAATGGGAGATTCAAAGACGGCTCTCTTTCTTGCACGTAAACAAAAAAAAACGCGCAATCAAAAGGGTCTTTGTAATCGAGCATTTATCCAGTATCTAGTGTCTGTAAGTTGTTACAGCTGCCTTTCTCTCTCATTATTCTCACGAACAAAATATCTTTGATAAAGTGTGAATGAGCAGGCAATCGTAACGGACAGCTTTTAAGTTTGCCTAATAGAAGAAAATGGAAGTAGTTGTAACGGGAATAAATTGCAACAGTGATCGCTAATCTGGACTCTTATAAATCGCTTGTGATGCGCGTATGCAACACGATTTGCAATTATCTTCCATTGTGCCCGGCGATGACTCTCAACTTGGTGACAACGCGTCACAGCCGTGAAAGGTGCGACATTTATGACAAATGTTGCAACTTATCCCGGTCACATATGTGCAGTGTATTCTGCCTTTTCCCACGTACCGCGATAAATGTTGTGGCAAAAGCCCCCACTTTCCCCCTCCCGATTAAGAAATTTAATAATTAATCGCACAACAAATTGCATACGGAGAGATGAAATGTTGAGATAAAAAAAATCGAAGAAGACTCAGAGAGCCTTTGAGATAGCATCTTTTGCGCTATCTGGAACTTAAGACGCTCGCGTAATTGGCAATAATATGATAAAATCCACGACGTTTCTATATCGCGAACGATATAATAGTGTAATCGAGACTAGATTCCGCATCGATAGAGCGGTAAGGTTTTCCCTCGGTACGTGATGCCGAACGTACAACCGCATATAACGTAGGGATGCCTGATTGTGCCCCACTTTCCCTCAGTAACACGCGATTATCGCAGCGGACACCGCAATGCCCGCCATCTTGGCCCCGCAATACCTCGGCGCCTCCGGTCATCTCCCTCGAGATGACCAATCGGCGCCGCGTACACTCTCCTTCGGAATAAAAAGTTGCAGTGATTCACGAGCCGGAAGCCAATGATACAATCATCATTCTCCAGCGATTTCGTAATACTTGGCAAACAAGTTGTCAGCAATTTTAATGATTACGCATTTATTAATTTTGCCATCGAGAAGCGACTCCGATATCCGCATTCGTCCTAATTGGTCCGCCTTTACTATCGTCGCAGATTTGCATCTTCGAGCGAAACTGCGTAGTAAGCGTGCAGACTTGTATATTAATCTGACGTAACGATCCTTCATTACCATTGTAATTCGCTCTACTCACCCATCTTGTCGCGAAGCCGCAGAATCTCCGTCTCTGATTGCAGTTAGCCAAGCTGGTCTTGGTGCTGTCGTGCATCGGCAGCGACGTCCTGGCGGGCCTCCTGCCGGGGGGTGGCGCAGGTGCCGGAGGGTATCAGTACAACCGACCGGGCGGCGGCGGTGGTTTCGGTGGAGGATACGCCGGTGACGCCGGAGGTTTCGGGGGTGGCGGCCGCGGCGGTGACTTCGGCATCGGCAGCTACAGAGGCAGACCCAGCCAGGCTTACGGTCCACCCGGGAGCGGTGGTGACTCTTTCGGCAGGCCGGGTGCAGCTGGATTCGGAGGAGGACCGTCGTACAGACATCCGCAGTTCGGCGAGGGTGGCAGCGGTGGGTACCAAGACGGTGGTGCCGGCGGATACCAAGGAGGACATGGATATGGCGGACGCGACGGCGGAAGGGTAAATTGATCCTCGATGTATCTTCCGACTCCCACATAGCTGATCTTCTAAAAACATATTTCCAAATTCTTTACCTCGCATCGTGATACCGCTAACATTTCAGGTATTCATTCGTACAGGTTTGAAATTTAGCAGAGTTCCCTGCCAGAAATAATTCTACAAGTTTCTACAAAACTATAAAATATAACTGCCAGAATCTAAGAAATTCTGCGTAAATGTAAAAAGTGTTATAAAAATCAACATGAAAATGCTAGAATTGGAACACCTTTGTTAATTTTTGCAATACTCTACAAGTAAGCAGATGTTTTAATTCTTCAAGATTTTGTTGTTTCTCAAATTTTTAAAACTAGTAAAGTTTTGTGCTAATTTTTACAAAATTGTACATTTTCATGAAATACTACTTGCAATAATTTCTTGATTTGATAACATTGTAATTTGTGGTACTATTTCGTAGATATGTTTACAAAAAAATTCATGTTTCAACGAAGATATAAAAATTTCTACAAATTTCTATTTCAAGTCAATTTTTTTTGTAGTTATTTATAGAAATTTTTTCCGCTAGGGTTATCTCGGTTTTCGATGACGCCGTTTAACTTTGATCTCAGTTGAATTCATCCTGTGTCTTCCTGAGGTCCGGTTTCACCAACGTCGCTTAACTTTAAGCTTAGCTCAATTCGTGCTTTGTCTCTTTCCAACTGTTTAGAACTTCCAACTACTTCAGACAGAGACAAACATGCATTAAACTAAGATTAAAGTTAAGCGACGTTTGGTGAAACCGGGCCTAAGGGGAAAGAGACAAAGGAGTGAACTAAAATCAAAGTTAAACGACGTTGGTGAAAATGGATAGAAATGATAACGTTGGAGCAGCGTAGAGCTCAAAAATATTTCTATCTAGGAGAGCTTGAGAATCTCTGGATGAGATAATACTTTTTATTTCTTCATACGTTAATGAATCAGACATTATTCCGGCTCCTCACCGCCTTTTCGTTTGCTGTGTATGCAACGATAGTTTATTATTTCGCAGCCGCAGCCGTACAGCTTCCAATACGAGGTCGTCGATCCACCAAGTGGCAACGATTACTCTCAGCACGAGAGCAGCGACGGTAACGTCGTTCAAGGAGAGTACCGAGTTCTGTTGCCGGACTCGAGGACGCAAATCGTTCGGTACATGGCGGACGATGTGAATGGATACAACGCGGAGGTTCAGTACGAAGGACAGGCTCAGTATTCTCGTGGTGGAGGATACCCAGGAGGAGGATACCCAGGAGGTGGATACCAGGGAGGTGGATTCCAAGGAGGTGGCTATCAAGGTGGCGGTTATCAAGGAGGTCAGTATATTTGAGTGTTAACACTCAAAACTTGAGTGTTAATACTCAAAACTTGAGTGTTTTTTCCGTAAGGATATCGTGAAGAATACAATAATAGATGTATGTATGTGTGTATAAATACGTGCGCGAAATTATATGAAATTGCATTGATGAGTACATGTCTCTCGATCATCAAAACGATAATGCGACGTTAAACGTAAGACAGTTCAACACGTATGTACGTACAATTTTTAATTAGATTAATTAAATGTTAATAATAACATAAAATTAATACACGAGTCGTTTAATTTAAAAGAGCTTTGTCTAGATGTCCATGTGATCGTAAAACTTTTATATATAATATAATTAGCAAAGATTATTACTAACTTTTTATGTATGGTCAACAGGCAGAGGTGGCGGCTTCGGCGGACCCGGAGGTTTTGGAGGCGGCTTCGGTGGCGACGGTGCTAGCAATCAATATTTGCCACCGCACAATAATTATCACAAATAACCGCTCGTCACGGGCTACCTTACCAAAATACGACATGTACCGCGTGCATTTACGGCGACAACCATCACGGACCTCCCTCGGCTTTTCCTCTGAATACGGTAATCCCTCGCTCACACACGAGACACGAACCCTCTCCCAATCACCTATGCGCCCGCGAATCACTGTATCACCTATATTTAACGATCACACAAGGACTAATTAGGATAATTTCATATGCATGCATGAGTGTATGTATTTATATATATATACATATATGATAAACATAATTTTGTACATGATAACTGTCAAACATACGCTTGTATCTTCCGCTAAGCGATTATCAAACTCTTATGTTATGTACGTATTTATACGAGCTTGTAGTAAAACATAAATGAAGTATTCTTCCTATTTAATTTCATGTAGTTTTACCCCCAACTCATCGATCCGTAATCTGTCTTTAATTTGATCTATATAAGAGATCTTTAAATCCAAGTAAAAAGTTTCATTCCGTTCCTTAAACAATTTCGTCAACGTATAAAAGATAGAATTATTTACATTAATTCATAATCATGAGTCGTTGATGAAGCAGCAGTGTACATTTCAAGTCTTCGTATCTTCGTGATACATACTTAAAAAATGTATAACTTGCTAAACAATAACTTATTGAGATAATGTACATAAGTACATACATTTCATTTAAAAAAACAAGTCTTGGGAGAAAAATGTTTTACCTCTTAAAAACACATGTATATATTTGGCGATATCAATGTATCAATTGCATTTTTAATGCTTCGATAAAAATTTTTGAAATTTATATATTATCTCGGATTTACTTTAGCAAATAGATTTCTTATATCAAAATTCTACAGCATATCAAACTGGCGATATTTTATAGTTTGTAAAATATCTTACACAATAGTCATATAGCAAGAGATATACTTAGAACAATTCGTCCCACTCTTCGATTGTGATATGAAATATAACGACATTGCACAAAGTATCAAAAGCGAGAAGTAGAATGTAGATTTTCAAAGTATCGAAAATGTGGACACATTTAATATAAAAATTGATATATTCAGATAGATTCAATATTTCAATAGAACTCAGAATGTCATAGAAACAATATTAAAAAGCAAAATAAGTTTAAAGATTTAATTCAAAAAGTCAATAGGAATTCGGAAGTATGGATATAGAATGCCTCTTTTTACGTGCCAGCCTATGCTCCAACTCATTGCATACACAAAAACTTCTTAATTAATATTTGAAATAACAAATCGCATTATAATTGCGAAATAACAAATTCCAATTATATATAAAGAAAATATTTGGGAATATTAAAATGTTGAAATAAGAAAAATTAGGGAGCTCTTAAATCACAGTACTTATTTAACCACTTTATTACATATGTAGAATAACAATTCTCATTTTATGCTGAAAGTAACTTTTTATTATCTTGTAGGTAACAATTATTGATAATTACATCTAAATTGCAACATAAAAATTATATTTTATATTACACAAACCAAAAGATATTTTCAAAATAAGAATATGCCAAGAAAATATTACAAAAATTCGTTCTCATCAATTTTTTACTTGTATCATGACAAATAATTTTCTTGATCCATATTGTATTCTATTAGCAGTAAGTCGTTATTAGCTTAAAAAAATATCAATATGAAAAAAAATAAACAAAAAATCGTCACACACGTACTGTTGTGAAATAGTATTGCTCAGTTTATATCAGAAAAATGTCACATCATCTTTTTCCTAAGCAATGTAAATTTTACAAACAAGATATATGTATATATTTTATTGTTTCAAGATAAATATTCGATATGCACATCAAAAAATTTGTAAGTACTTGTCAAATTAAAAAAAAAAACTCTTTGGCATTATTATACTATTCATTATAAAATAAATGATTATAATAAAAATTATGAATTTTCTTAACGCAACGTTGAAATGTTTAGTTAGAGTTACATCAAGTTGTATATATCATGTCTGCATTCCTCCGAATACTTGGCTTATGCGTGTCCTTGTCCTATAAAGAAATTGGAATAAAATTCGCATACAGAATGTTATTTGTATATTGTTTAATAAATGAGATCACTCATTGTAACACGCATAATAAATTTATGATAATAAAACATTACCTTTGCCCAAAGGAACCTTTCTTGCGTTTTGTATTCGAGATCTTAGAGCTACACCTCGTCCACCTACACATGTAGACATTTAATTATTCACGAGTAATTAATACAATTGAAAAGTTGCATTCAATTGTTCCTAATAATGCTATATATAATTGTATACAGGGTGACTTTGAAAGACCGCCCACTAATTACATAGCGTTGTCTCTTATTAAAAACTGTTGAAAAGTCCTGAACCATTTTTCTCTATAATGCTTAATAAATTATTATCAAGTAAACTCGAACGAATTAGCGCTGATCTTTAACCGGGTGCACGTCAAGCCGCATGTTTAGTAGTTTGCGACATACACTACTAGGCGCGTGGTTCATTCGACTTTACTTAACAATTTTTTTATTAAGCATTATAGAGAAAAATGGTTTAAAACTTCTCGACTCAGTTTTTAATAAGACACGACGCTATGTAATTAATGAACGGTCTTTCAGAATTAACCTATATTGTAACCAGAATTAAACTGTACATTATTACATAATATTAACTTACCAATAGGAGGAAAGTTCTCATCGTCGTTTACAAGAAAATCTTCCGTGGAAGTGAATGCTAGTAACAATTATTTATACATATAAGATAAATATGAACCGTTATAATACGTTATGCAGCAAAACTTACGATTTATATTCGGAGGTCGCAACGGCATTTCATTTAACTAAAAAAATATAAAATTAGTGAACAATAGCAGATCTTTCAATTTGTATAATGTAGTAAAGATTATATAAGAATACATACGTATTTCGACCCATATTTTTTTTCTTCAACAGGCTTAGCCGCAGCAGCTTCAAACTCATTAAACTTGTTAGCAGGTTCACCAATGGGCTTGCTGGCAGATTCTCTTGACATTTTGCTGTAATCAATAACTTCTACTGGTTTAGATTCATTTCGACGGCGTAGGTTTTCTTCGTATGTCCTACTAGAAACTTTCAATCTGTGTTGTTCGCTTACCTATAACAAGATAATCAATTAAAATCATTGACAATTGTTGTATTAAGTACATTTTATTAATTTTGTAAAAACTGTTTGAATAAGCATACATAATGTACCGATTTGTGCATAAATTCCAGCAGTAGTGGTATTTAATATATTTTATACTTACGCCTGTCATAGACAACATGTCACTAGGCACGGATGTAGATGGTGCATCATTGATTTTAATGTTATTAATTAAGCTCGCCATGCTAGAGAGATCAGCCTCAGAATTTTTAAGAGTACAATGTATTCCTGGCTTCATAATAATTCCAAACGGTTCACAAAACTCATCGCACAGTGTCCATGTCCAGTGTTGCAGCTTACATTTACTGCACCATTCAGTCCCTCCATCAACATATTTGTGAAACTAAACATTACGAAATGACATTAGAAATATATACTTTGAAATATTATAATAATTTATGATAAATTTAAGAGATAATAAAATTACCTACATAACACTCAAATCCTTTATCAAAGATATATGTAAAGCGCGTGAACATAGTTTCAGCATAAACAGGAATATGCTCTATTACTCGATCGTTCCTCTTCTTGTAGGCTTCCTTCGCCAAATGTGTAAACAGTGATTCCAACTCATAAATTTTAAACTGTTCTCTATCTTGTTCTAAAATAAGAGAAAATTTATTTAAATAACATGTATTAGTACAAGATGCACCTAAGACATAAATGTCTCTCTTTTGACTGTGGAAAAAAGTCCAAAGAAAATTATTTACTTTATTCTTATAAAAATATCTTTTGGTACTCGATTTTCAATATAATTACCATCTAAGAAGCCCACACTTGTAAGCAAATAAAAAAAGGGGGAAAAGTAATCATACTTACATTGTTGTTAAATATGGAATTATTAAAATATTTCGTAAATGTGCACTTACGTGCTGCATTGCTCAGTTTGCCCATAAAAGATCGTACTACTTGTATACAATCTCTTGTTGTATACAGATAAGGATATTGATCCACAACCTTTCTTGATTCTAGGAAATTCACCAATTTGTCGTACATAACAGCAAAGTCAGTCTCTCCACCTGTATATTCTATCGGTATCTTGTGAGAGTTCTGACTTATCTCAATTGCTTCCCGTCTATATCCTAATGGAATCTGAGCGCTAACAATTACATGATGTACATCCTCTATGCCTTTCTCAAGCGAAAAAATTCCAAATGCATATTCGGCCGGAAAATATTCATTAGTGTTGTTAACAATCTTGGAGAAAAACCAGTTAACGTGTACGAAACAAAATTTCAGTTGTGGCACAACTGCAATAAAAAAATTGTTGTTTAATCTAATAATTTAATATTACGTTTGCATAATCAACATTACACGCATAATGTACTTGAGTCTCATTATTGCTTTGCTTTGCAAAGATTTTCAATCCAAGCGGAGAAAATTTTTATTCAGCTTGCTAAACTTTATACACAAATTACGATATAGTTTGATAAACATGCTATTCTTTTTTTTACTTCTGCATCTTTAAATAAAAAATCAAAACCTTTGAAATTAATGTAAAAAGTGTCAAATGTGTCAACACATTACTTTCAAATGAGTTCTTACAATAATTTACAATTATATAACGTTACATACAATTCAGATTTACCGCAGAGTTGATTATCACTTTTATATTTTCCTGCATATTTTTTATAAACATCTCCGCTTCCTTCTGTTTTTGCTCGAGCATACTTATTGATTCTCCAAGTGTCGTTCTTTTGCCTTTGGCTGCTATCTGCGACGAGACTTTATCGTTCTTGGCCATAGCTTCGTACGGGCCTTTTTCTTGCTTAGTTAAACTCTATTGACAAAAAACTCTTTTATTATATCTTTGCCATAAAGTACAATAATTCTAAACATTGAAATGTTAATTTTGTAATAAACTTCATTAAAATCCTTGACAGCAAATAAGCTTTACACATTCGTCAACGATTGCAGTCGCTAATGCTACATAATTCCCTGCCAAAAAAACAATGCGCATCTATGCTTCTCACAAATACTAAAATTCTTGCTTCATTTTAACAAGATTGTAAAATTAATGCAGCATGTATTGAGAATATAGCATTTGTTAAGAAATACAAAACTTAGCAAATAATATCTTAACAATGCATGTGCTCAGAATGCAACAAAACCATGTTGTCCATGTCTTGCTAATAATTTCTCAGTGCTAATCTTTAATTGGTGTCTAATTGTAGTCTATTCCCTCTCCCAATTTACATATTACTAATTATTACTAACAATATTTTCATGGCAAAGGGAAAACCGAGGGGGAAACCGCCGACCAAAATCTTGTACACCAATGTCCACTAGTGCCCATTACCTTATCTTATTTTACCCTATTTATCTTGTTTTATCTTATTTTATCTTTATAATGCCCCAGCAAGGCCCAAACTAATGCAAAAAAAAGCCCAGTAATGCTGCAAATCCGTACAATGCCCTCAGGCTGTTTCCCCCTTGGGAAAAACCTAAAGCCAAGTCAATCCCCCCCTCCTCCCTCTTAAGCCCAATCACGAGGGGGAAACCGCTGGCCAAAATCTTGTACACCAATACCCACTAATGCCCAGTGGGCATTACTTTATCTTATCATCTTCTTTTATCTTATTTATCTTGTTTTATCTTCTTTTATCTTATTGTATCTTATTTTATCTTTATAATGCCCCAGCAAGACGTAATGCCCAAAAAATGCCCAGTAATGCCGCAAATCTGTACACCACAATGCCTTAAGCGGTTTCCCCCTCGCTCCATCACTTTCTTGCCCAATAGTTTGAGCTCGCAATTCAGCGTCTAGTTAACGCCGGGAGGCCAGCTTAATGCGGACGCCAGAAGCCGAGACTGCCGGCCGCTACTTTCGTAAACACCTACCCTCCACTCCTCGTTACAATCTGGATCCTGCTGAACGTCCCTGAACCCGTTGGGAAAGCTGTAACCTTGCGCCTCCATGCGCTTTCTCCAATCGGCCATGAAGAAGAAGAATGCATTCCTTCCTTTATTCTTCGGCATCTTTCCCGACGAGGACGAAAACTATCGTGAGCGCTTTCAGCGTGGGCGAAGCTGATGGGCCTCTTATGTTTGGTTATGTTGCGGCAACCTGTTAAGCGGGGAGCGGCGCGCCCTTTACGAGCCACTTGATGTTAAAAGTGCTGCTCTCTCTTTCCGTTTAATGAAATGAAGAAGAACAACGCTAACTACGATCTGCAGCGTCAACTGTCGAGCGGAGACCGCGGTCTAGGTTAACTTGAACCACCTAGGCTCTCGATCGGACTCAATCGGAGTAATCGAACTGTACGGGAATTCTGTAACTTGCAATCGACTTGCCTTTCGGTATCGCTAACTAGCGACAGCCAATGGCGAGGACGATCTTCGAAAGAGACGCAGATTTTCATTGGTTGTTCCCAGTTTGGGCCATCGATACCATACAAAATGGACGAATGTTTTTCAAGCCCCCCCCCCCCACCCGCCACATTTGAAACGAAATAGATACTTACTCGACGAAAGCGAGAGAGAAAGCTCTAACGTAGCACGGCAATAAGAGCCAAGCAAATCAAGACGGGACAAATAACAGAAGAACAAAGACGGACTAATCCTTTGGTGCGGCTGTTTTACCGAGAACTTGATTTCAGAGCACAAATTTCATTCCTAATTCCAGAGGGGCCGAGTTGCTTCTCCCGTTTCGCTTTGGACCGAGCGATATCGACGGGAATTCAAATGTACGCACGCAGAAAGCACGTGGTAAGAGGTCATTTGTTATCCTACCTGTTCTCTCAACTCGCAGATTTACACAAATCGTGTCCCCGGGATCTTTTATCGGAACGCACAACTGCGCGTGGCCAAACCAAACTAGTTCAAGGATAAAGCGCGACCAATTATATTAAAGAACGAAGCTCATTGCGCGCGCAACGGTTTGGAGGTGGAGTAATCAATTGTGGTTCGTATCGATGACGTGCCCCCCGCCCATGGAAGGGCCACCCCCCCAAAAAAACCGTTTTTTCCCACTTTCTCCTCCCAAAAATTAACAAGAAAAGCTGTTTTCACCCCCAGCGAGATCACGGCTGAGTAGCAATGCGACAATTTGACTGGTGTCGTCTTTTCCTATTTTATTTTATTTATTTAATCACAATTCAAAGGAACAAAGGACATAAGAGCCAAGGCAGGATGTTTAGTGTCTAAACGATTTTAACTTTGAGACGGGAAACTTGTAGTCAACCCAACTGGCTAGTTATTTTATTAGTTTATTACACCACGTTTCGTCCCTTTTTGTTCCGAGGAAGAGGTGATGTGTCCAAGAGTAGCCCCAAAATAATTTTCCGTTGATATTACAATACAAAATAAGTTTGTACATTAAATGAAACTCTGATCAGAACTTCATTGGCATCTAATCTAATAAAGGTTGTTTAAAGCCAATGAGCATCGCTGGCACAACGTCACCTTTGTTCAAAACTTGCTTCCCCGCCGTTCGCCCAGGCAGCATCAGAAGTGCATTGGCGCCTTTGCAGCTGAGTAACTTGCTACTGATTTGATTCCCCGTGCTGTAAGCCACCGGCAGCGTCTCTTTGTCGTCCCATTTCAAGATCGCTCTTGCGTACTCGGGACGCGGATCCAAATTGTACGACGACGTTAACTGTAACGTTAGAACGCCGTTTTACATGTATCGCGCACGTTATTGTTTTTTTTTACAAAATAAAGACGCTCTTATGAACCTTAGTTTGCACTGCGACCGGTTTCGAAAAGTCGCCGCGCATCTCGTTCAAAAGGGGTAAGAGGAATAGATGCGCAGTAACGGTAGCGGACACCGGGTTTCCTGGCAGACACAAGAAATATTTCTTTCTGCCTAGAAACGTACACGTTGCAAACGTCGTTGGCTTTCCCGGCTTCATATTTACGCGTCCTGGAGGAATACATTTAATAGTTCATATGTGAAATATGTTTACATACACACATTAATATAGAGATGGTCAAAGAGCAAAGAAAAGATACCAAAATGTATAGAAGCCTTGAAATGCGTCTCTAAAATAGGCTTCAACAAATCTCTATCGCCCATCGACACGGAGCCTGTGGTCACGAGTACATCTACTTTTTTTAGAGCTTCCTCGATTTTGTTTATCATATCCTTTGCGCTGCAAGATAATTATATTAATACAATGAAATTTGTTAGTTATTTATAATCACTAGATTAATAAATGAAAATAACACAACGTACGTGTGCTAGGAATGATAAATTTTTTACATACTTGTCAACCGCAATTCCGAAATCCAAAGAATCGAAGCCACTCTCTTTTAATAGCGAGACTAAAGTTATTCTGTTGCTGTCATAGACCTGGCCTGGTCTCAGAGGCTCTCCAGCTTCTTGCAATTCGTCTCCAGTGGACAACAGACCTATGCAGGGAGGTTTGATAACTGAAACGAGTTTGCAGCCGCAAGCCACCAGGAGTCCTACTTCCGCCGCACCAATATACGTGTATGCATTCAACACTAAACTTCCTTTTTCTATATCGCAACCAATAGGTCTTCAACAACACATAAATAAATAACCAAATAAGTCAATTTTGTCACGAATAAAATAAAACTGTTTCGAACGACGGCGTCTAATGAATCTTGTACCTAATATCTTGTCCTTCTTTCGGCTCAGTCATTATTTCAATTTCTTTCTCCTCCGTCCTGTCAGAGCTCTTTAACACTAGTTTTGTATCTTCGACCTGCACAACCGCAGTTGCTTCTGCAATCGGGCAAAAGAAAAGATGAAGTAAGTCCTTCACCGTAAGTGAATCAACAATTGCAATTTACAACTGTTTACCGTCAGGAATAGGCGCTCCAGTGTTCACGCGTACACAAGTGCCAGGTTCAAGAGACACCAGAGTGGGCTAAAAAAGTTTTCTTTTATTCCTTTCTCTCGCGCTGAGCATCTGTTGATGCGACTTACTGCAGTCCCTGCTTTCACGCCACACAACACCTTCCTTCTGCCTTTCCCATCGCTTGCCAGCACCGCGTATCCATCCTTTATGGAAGCTCGAAATGGCGGTAGGTCGCAATTGGAATATATGTCCTCGGACAAGATCCTACCGTGGGCGTCTTTTACATTCACAGATTCAACTCTTTTCTGCTCTACACTCGTGCGTATCAGCCTCACTGCCTCGCCAACAGAAATCATGGGAAATGGGGATTCCCTGAGGCGCGTCGCTACATTCTCGAAATTCATCTGAAATAATCCAATTGTATTACACAGCTTCGTGTAAACTTATTTATTTTGTTTCCGATAAAATAAAAGCGCCTCACCGTGTGTGCACACGAAGCACCGTGCGAACAAGACGTAACATCACGTTGCACAGCGTCGTGTGTATCTCTAACTTTTGCTTTATTATCCAGGATCAGATCTACGGCGTGCGGAATAGCAGGTGCGACTGCAGTCAAGCACTCTATCGCGGCCTTACGCGAACCAGGCAGATTAACAATCAGCGTTTGCTTACGTATTCCACATACAGCTCTGAAAACATACCAAAAGTTGTAACCTTGTAGAAATTACCGAGCAGGTCGGAAAACTTTACCGAGAAAGCACTGCCAGTGGAGTTATTTTCAGGCTGGAAATGAGCATCGCCGAGGACAATCCAGGAGCTTCTTTCTGGATGACTCGTTTGGTCGCCTCGGGTGTGACATCTCTGTTGGAAAATCCAGTGCCGCCGGTGGTAAGAATAACGTCGGCTTTATTCTCGTCGCTCCAAGTGATTAGATGCGCCTGGAGATGTCACAGAGTGTATTTAGGGAGCTCGCTATCGGCGCTATTTAGCCCCTAGTAGCACAACGCGTTTGCTAAACATTGGCCCAATATAACCAGACATTGGGCCAACGTGTAACCAATGTTTGGTCAATGCACTGTGCTACTGGGGGGCGTCATTCCATCCTTGTTGCTCATTACGCATCACAGATGACATCTTTCACGTCAATAGCGAGCTCTACGAACGTACCAATAACACACAATCACGATATTACAAAGGCGACTGTTAAAATATCTGTAGCCCACCATTATTGATGCCTCATCATCTTGCACAACGGCAGTGTGAGAGACGACTCCTTGAAGGACACTCCCTGCCGAATCTGCGCCGCTGACGAGTGCTTTTAACGCAGGCCCACTCTCGTCGGTTTTCTCACCGCGCGCACAAGTGTCGCTTACTAAAACAGTACAATAGAATCGTTAGAACTTAAGAAATGTGCGCGGTGTGTGATAAATCTGTCAATTCTCCTGACAGAGGCCACAATCAAGCCTGCGTCTTTTACAAGATTATTCATTGAACACGGGATATGTATATTACCATACTTAGGGCCAGTTTCACAAACGTCGTTTAACCGCTAACCCATGGTTAATTGATCCTCTGTCTCTTCTTGGATAACAAGATAGAGAAAGATAGGAAGTCGACTGAACTCTGGTTAACTGCTAACCGAAGGTTAACTAATCCTCTGTCTCTTCTTAGGGCCAGTTTCACAAACGTCGGTTAACTGCTAACCGAAGGTTAACTGGTCCTCTGTCTCTTCTTAGAGAACAAGATAGAAAAAGATAGAGCGTTGACTGAACTCTGGTTAACAGTTAACCAACGTTTGTGAAACTGGCCCTTAGAGAACAAGATAGAAAAAGATAGGGCGTTGACTGAACTCTGGTTAACAGTTAACCAACGTTTGTGGAACTGGCCCTTAATCTTCAAGTGCACGACTAAAATATTTTGTGAGCTTTTAATATTATTGCTGTCAACATACAGGCTACAAGCGTTTTGAAATGTTTCTCGTAAATGCTATACATATATTACTGTGGCACTATTACCGGTTAAAATTGCAAATCTTATTGGTGCCATTTTGTCCGTCCCCGACAGCCTTCAGATTAAAGAGCTTGTGACTACACAACTTCTTATCAAATCAACGATTATGTGAAGTAAACTCCATTTAACCACACGATACTGGAAAAGAGCTCTAGCAGGTGGCAGGCCGCTAGTCAGCTGTGTGGAGGGTTTCTGTTCTTTGTAACTACACTACACTAGACTTTCTACACTTGAAATTAAATGAGTATGTTAGCAGAGAGAAACCTGAGAGCGGCGTTCTACTTGATACCGTTTCGGGAGATTGTTTTGCGCGCTCTTACGCCCTTTTTTTTTTACTTTTGCAACTATTTCATTACGCACCTTCTGACCCCGCCGAAAAAATTTCCACTTGGCGCATGTCTGCGCTACGCATTCTGACATCTGATTTATAAAATTTACATCGCCTACGTGAGAAAAGTTGATGTAAATGTCTGGCAGATAATTTACGTTAATGTAATTTCGAATTTCACAGCACAATCCTGAAAAAATAAGCGTAGTTTGGACACCCGCAAAGTGGTGACTCTATCGGCAGTGTCAGAAGATGCGCAGCAAAACAGTTCCAGAAGTAAAAGTGGGCGCAAAGGCGCGCAAAACAATCTCTCGAAACGGCATCAAGTAAAACGCTGGCGTGGTATCCGTCTTGTTTCATATCGTCCATATATAGTGCGACATATTTCTTGGCTCACATATCTACAATATTTCAATAAATTTAAAATAATTTGTTCAGGTTTACATATAAATATATAATATTTCATCTCTTAGTCTTCTATCTTTTGTAACCAACGGCAATGAGAGGCATAGAGAGTAGTCAGCGTTTTCCCCAGCTGTGAAATAAACATCTTTATTATAGAAGAATTTAACAATAAGAGATACATAGCGATGGATACACTCATCAATTCTAGAATACAATAATACATTACGTGATACAATGTATCACGATTTCCTTCCTGCTTTGCGTATGAAGCAAGTCATTGTAAACATATCCTCGCGTTATTAACTATTCTTGCGCAATTTCAAATTTTCACGCACGCATCACGAGTCAATCGACACGAGCAGACGATAATACCTCCATTCATTTGATCGTAAGGTAGATTAAGTCGCGCTGTATAGTATTCGCGACGCATGTCTAGAACAATCTTGCGGCAGGTCCGTACACCTTTTCTCCATCGTGCCATTCTTTCGGACATTAAGAGCGATTCAAGGAAGGAATGCAACTGAACGGAAAGTATTCAAAACATCGGTTTCAAATCATTTTGGATGGAAGATTAAGCGTGTGTCCTGAAGTCAATAGTCGACTAGGCCTCTGGAATAACGGAAAATGGCATGGTGTTTTAAGTAGCATACAAAATTTACGTCGTTATATTTAGTTGCACCGAATCAGTATTGATCTGTGCTTAATGAATCCTCTCTGTCTGTCTTTCTCCCTCTCTCTCTCTCTCTCTCTCTCTCTCTCTCTCTCTCTCTCTCTCTCTCTCTCTCTGTGTGTGTTAATAATCAGGACTACGTGTTAGAGACAATCGCTAATGTCCAGTAATTACGAATTGTCGGTGCAACTCGGCAATCGCAACTTCCGGCGACTCAGAATCGGGAGATTTTACCGATTGCTCCTCGGACTCGGCGAACGAAGTGGTGAATCTCTGTATCTCCTACGCGACTCTGTTCTACCCCGGTCGCGATCATCGCGCCGATCTCTCTCCCTGTCCCTATCCCGATCGCGATCGCCGTCCGTGTCTCGCCTGTCGCGACGTGCCGCGTGGTGTCTTGGACTACGACTCGGACTTGGTGTACGGGACACAGAAGACCGCGTGTCGGAACTGTGGCCTTCGTAACGATGTCTCCGTTCTCTTTGCCTGAAAAGTGAAATAAAATCCACGTCGTTACTCGAGCTGGCGAACCTGACGCATTCACGATTCGGGTGAAGATTATTTACTTTCTGCGAAGTTTTAAAGACATCTCTCGAATCTCGTCTTCCCGATCCTGTCTCTGTTGCTCCATCTTCTCGATTCTCAACTGCTCGGCTTTCTTGTCAGCTTTATCTAAAAAGAATTCATTTTACATTTGCCTTTTATTATGGGTACGTAGTTCTTTCAGACATCAACCTACACTGTTTGTTTAACAGTGCCTGCATTTTCTTCTTAAGCCGCTCCTGAGGTGTAATTTTCAACGACTGAAAAATATAAAACTCTTAAAGGTCTGTGGAGAAAGAGCTAAAGGTCTCAATATTCTTGGTGTAATTAAAAAATCTTGTGCCCATTATGCATACAATATTATTAATTGTAGGATATAACTGATGTATGTACCACAAAAAATTTGTAATTTCCTTTATGGGCAATTATTAGAATGCAATTACGAGCAGATGAAAGAAAGGTAATGGCAAAGCGATCAATTTGCCACGAATTCGCGTTACAGCGACAGTTATCTCAAAGTAAAACGATTCCCGCAAAGATTTCAAATTTTTTGTGGCTCTAACAACACGCCAAAATTCCGCTTCGGAACGAATTAAAAATAAAATAAATAAATACAGAATACAATGTCGGCACCGATGTGTAACGTAACGAAAACGAGACGCGCTTGTTGAGGTTCTTCGTTCAGATGGAAGGCATTTAGACATGATACTTATATAGACATGGTACTTATATAAGTATGTTCTGTCTTTATTCTCAGCGCGTTAAGTGACTAAGAAAGCGTTACGGTTCTTACTGACTTTGTGTCCGCCACCAGAATTTGTACTTAACCCTGCTTTTGGCTTGTTCCTGAAATATTAACAATTCAGTTCACGCATAATAAGACGCTTAACAAATTAGCTCATAAAATGCTTACACGCTTGCGTTTGTCGATGTCTTCGATGTTGCTGCGCTGGATTTTTCTTCATTATCGGACAGCTCTAGCTCGAGACTCGACGACTTTCCACGTCGGCCATAATACCTGCACGCGAAATAAGTTTATAACGCTTATACGTCGCACCAATTCAATTCTTAAATAAACCCGTGAACAGGTTTTACCTGGGCAGTGCTGGTGTCTTATTATCATCACTTCGCGATCGTTTACAGCTAGACTGACTTCTCGATCTCGATCTCGATCTCGATGGAGACTTCGATCTCGAGCGAGACTTGGATCTTGATTTTGACAACGAGTAGCGTCTTTTCCGATAGCTGTCTCTAGAATGGCTCCTGTTGTGCGATTTGGATCTCGATCTTGACGCCGACACGCTGCTCGAGGACGAACTCCTCGACCTCTTCAAACGTGAGCGTGATCTAGATCTTGTCCTCGATCGCGAAACCGACCGCGATCGCGATCTGCTGGTACTTCTGCAGCGCGATCGCGATTTACTTCGCGTTCGTGATCGTCTGGAGCGACTTCTTGTACGCGATCTCGTATACTTCCGAAGTCTCGAGCGTGTTCGTCTAGATCTAAGATGAGATCAAGCACTTAGATAAACTTACAGAGTAAAACACTAACTGTATCGTATATTTTGTTCCTTTTCGTTGCAACTCGCCTCATCTTAGATCCGCTTCGTTTCCTGTCACGTGTCCTGTACGATTTAGTCCTACTGACGGAACGTGAACAACTTCTCGACCTGGACTTGGATATTTTCCTACTGACGGTTCTGTCGTTGTAAGCAGGACTGTCGGACCTCCGTCGCCTGAGATACGAATAATTGACTTTCCTCGAATTCGACGAAGATACATGCGATGTGCTACCGTGGGTCTCTTCTTCCCCACCGAAGCTCGTGATGTAAGTAATCTGTCCTGTATTTACAGGCGATGCGGACCGCGACCGCGATTTGGAAGAGGATTTTCTATAAGGGTTATACTCCGGGCTTTCCCTAGCTGCGTAACTGAGATCGAAAGAATTTGTGTATAAGCGATAAGAAAACACTTAATTCGTTGCGAAAGCGCAATGAATCATTACCTAGGCGGACTCATAACGCGACCTATCATCTTCTTTTCCCTGAATGCACGCCTTTCTCTACGCGACCGTCGACCCTATTACATATAACAGAAGGCGTACGTTAAAACATTTTTATTTTTTTCATTAAAGTACGACACATTTCAGACATCTAGTTATAATATACAACGTACAAAGATACATTAGTCTGAATTAATCGCTTACCGAGTACATAGCTTTCTCCTCCTCTTGTTTACGGGCCTGCCGCAAGGTTTCAGCTTCCTCGAAGTCTTGTGTTAAAAAGCTAAAGTAATCAGCACCTAAAAGCCCATACTTTTGAGCCACCAAATTCATCTCGTGTGCCTGAGATGGTTCTATTTGCGACACGTCCACGCATATGTCTAAAAAAAAGTAATATATATATCGTTAAAAAATTTTGTTCTTGTAGCATCTCCAGGCACATTATCGACCAGAGACGTATCGGCTCATTGTTTCATTGCCTGAACATTATTGAGCGACGAGTTCACTTTAGAGTTATATACAGTTGAAAATGTACAGTTATCGCGGCTTAAAGTTCATCGTTTTTATAATAGGATCTGTGATTGTACTTATCCTTCGGTCCTTGACTTCTGCTCTTTTGTATACAAATAAAATGTTGAAATTACTGATATTTACACGCATACGTCTCAGTGGGCTCTATGAAAAATAACCGGAGGGAAAGCCAATACAAGTGTTGGTCTGTTCGCTCAACAATGTCTTAGACGTTGCGCCAAGTAAAATAGCGGCACCTAAATCTATATCGCTGTCCTCGTCGTCTCCCTTCTCCTCCGATATAACTGGATCCACTGTTTTCACCGGTTCCGGTATCGGCTCTTCGGTCTCATAATTATATCCGATGGCGGCGTTGTTAGCAGATTTCTTCTTATCTTTCGCCGCGTCTACCTTCGTCGACGAACCGAACTGCTCCTCCAAATGTATTTGGTGAAGAAACTTTTCTTCAGTTACTGAAGAAGGGACGCACAATTGAGGATACAAGGAAGACTGACAAGATATCTCTGTGCAACGGGGGGGAAAAAAGACGAGCAACGTACCACCTAGAAATTCATTTTGCACGATTATACGGTAGCGTTCGTAGTTGATGTGTCTATCTTCGCTCGTCAGAGGAATGTCGACATCGATGGTGTCCAACGGCTCCGGTATCCAATCCAGGTGCGCTCGCACGTCAAAACGGTCTATGAGATTGTCGTCGTTACCCTGCCACGGCATCCTGCGAATAAAATAAGACATTAGCTGTCGATTAGCACGATTCACGGCTAACGGCCAATGCCGCTGGGACACTCACATGTTCGCAGGACTGTCGCCCGCAGCGGCAATCGCCGGATCCAGGTGTATCTTGCATGGTCTACCGTGCAGCTGGAGAAACTGAGTAGGATCCGATTTCTACGTGGAGCACAGGAACGTTCAATCATTACGTTTGTCCGAGCGACCCACCTTCGCGCGCGATTGTATTTTAAGAACGAAAAGAGGGAAGGAGCAATAACGAAGGTTAACCGGGGGGGCGGGCAGACCGAGGTAGACGCTCCCCGTAAAAATAGCGCGCGGGGCATCGAGCTGTCCCGAGGTACGCCAAGGTAGAAATACTTTCACGCGCGTCCTTACGATTTTCTCGTAATAGTCCCGTCTACGCTCCGCTCTGCGACGGTAATCGACCAGCATGCCGCGGATCTTCTTCTCCTGCTTGCGTGCCTCGTGCCACATTCTGCCGCCGGTCTTCTTCACGGAGAAACTCATTTTCCCCTGCTCGCCGCCGTGGATCGGTTTCGCGCGGCTAGCTCGACGTGGGTGCCATTCGTGCAGCTGCGATCGCTAAAAAAATTGAAGCACTAATAATTGACACGCTTTCCTCTCCCGCGAGACGGACATGTTTGGCCTCCGCCGACAGCCGCGCGAGCGACCTCTCCCGCGGGGCTGGCGGGAATCGCCTTACCGCACAGCCGCGGGCCGCCCGCGGCGGTCAATTTGAATCGACGATACATCGCTCGATCTCGTCGTCGAAATTGGCGCGAATGTCCGAACACAAGAAGCGCAAATGCCGACAGCTTTTCTTCAAAATTCGCGTCCGCCGTTTTAAAAGTGTGGAAGATCTCTTTTTTTTCCATAATTTTACACACTTTGGTCCAATGTCCGGAAGTTTTCAGTTTCTGGCAGTCCGCTGGCGGCCTGTAACGGGTCAGTTCTTCCGACCCCGTCGCGCGGATTCTCGCGCGAGGGTGGGAATCGGATCCGCGGCGCAAGTCGAGGGTCGGCGGAAGAAAAGGTAACGGCAGAAGGTGTGAAGATGCTTTTGTTTATTATTAACCTTATGTAATATCGTTTCAAATTTTCAATTACATTATTATATATAATAATAATTATAATAATCATCATAATAATGTTATGACAATGTATACACGTTAGATACAAGTTCATTTTCCTTCATCCAGTATAGAGTTTTGTTAATTATTTTTTTTTTCATCTTAATAAACCGGTTTTTGTTTCTTAATTCACATTTTTCCGCTTCCTCTCTCTCTCTCTCTCTCTCACCCATACACACACGCATACACCCGCATACACACGCGTTCTCTCTCTTTCTCTCTCTCTCTCCCCCCCTCGCGTTCCGTTCCATTCATCCCCTATATTTTTTTGTCCCGATTGGTGACATGTCGAACGAGACATCAAGATACCATCCCCCCTTTCACGCTCGTGATTCTCAAAGGACGCTCACGCGTTGCCTCTCAGGCGCATCTCTCTCGCTCTCTCTTTCTTTCTTTCTCTGTCAGTCGTATTATAGTTATATTTGTTTCTGAACACAATGCTTTTACTCATACGTTAGGAAACTTAGGTTACTTTACTCCCGCCGCGGCAGCATGTTCCAAAGATCTCCGTAATTACTCAAGTTTGCCCTCGCGCGCGGACTTTTTCAAAGGCCGCACGTGCGTCCCGCGTTAGGTTTTGCAAGCCGAAACGTAATCGCCGAGAGAAGGGGCGCGGGCGTGGAGGCGCCCGCGCCGGAAGAAGGATCTCCCGCGGCCGCAGCCGAGAGCGACGTGATTCAACGTGCCGCACGGCGAGCGAAAATTAAGAAACACGTTAATCCTCCAGTGCCCAAGTTGTTCGTTGACATTTCGGAAAAGTCCTCGATATGTACAAGTGCGGATCGCTATTCGTATAATAGAGCTGCATCTTCGTCTTTCTGAAGACGGGAGGGCAAAACAGATCTCCCCGTGTTACAAAGCTTGAAGCTAATGACGATCGAAAGCACGGAAGGAAAACGGCTTAAAAAAAACACACAAAAACAAAATGCCGGCCCGTGACTCTCCAGACAGCACAGAGGTTCGGGAAAGAATTCTCTCCGAATTCTTTCGCCCCTTCATTTCCGCTCTAGAGACATTCTTGAGAATTCGAACGGAGTTCTTTATATTCGAAGCAACTTTGAGATTTGCCGATGAAATGTCGAAGGGTAGACTCCACTCCAGCTTAGAATTCGAACGAAGTTCTTTATATTCGAAAGAACTTTGAGATTTGCCGATGAAATGTCGAAGGGTAGACTCCACTCCAGCTTAGAATTCGAACGGAGTTCTTTATATTCGAAAGAACTTTGAGATTTGCCGAT